ATTGTCATCTAAAAAGGATTTCACCTGCGCATAGACCACTTTTTCTAAAATCTTCGAGATAAAAGGTAGCTTAGAAATAGGCCTAAAATTACTCAACATGGATTGATCCAAACGTGTTGTTTTTTTTAGTAGAGGTTGCAAAACTGCATGCTTAAAATAACCAGGCACAACACCAGAAGACAAACTACTATTAATAATTTCCAAGACCGTGCCTCCAATACATGGGAAGACTTCCTTAAATAAAGCCGGAGAAACGACATCTCGAGGGGAGCCAAAAGGCTTGGCCTGGGCAACCACTCCCTCCAAAAAAGTCAGAGTTACCGGCTCAAAAACATCAAAAGTAGTCAAACAAGGAGTAAAGACCGATGGATCGGGCACTAACCCAACCACAGTGGCCTTTATAGTAGCAACCTTCTCATTAAAATAAAATAAAAACTTATTACATAGTTCAACCGTTGCTTCCTGACAGACAGGCTGTGGGGGATTTAACACATCCCGATTGTTCTATATAATACATGTGAATCATGACTATTAGCTACAACAATACTGGACAAATCCCGCTTAGCTTCTTCCACAGTCCTCTGATAGTTGCGCCAACAGTCCTTCAAAATTTGCAGTGAAACTTGCAGTCCATCCTTCTTCCACCTTCTTTCAGCTTTGCGGCACTTCTGTCTGGCCACACGAGTTCTAGTGCCAAGCCAGGGTTCCATCCTAGTTTTAGGCCACACGATTTTCATCGGGGCCACGGAGTCCAGTATACAGCTGCAAGAGGATTGAACCCAAGCGCTAAGCCCCTCTGTATCTCCAGCAGCCTTGTTAGTACATGCAATTTGTTGATCAGGGCAACATACATGTATATTACTTGGACTGAAAGGAATGATTATTTTCAATATGAATTCATCTACTAATAATTTTTAGATTAATAAATTAGTCTATGAAATGTTGGAAAATTGTCAGAAATGCCCGTCATGCCCAGTTTCACACAGCCGAACATGGCTCCAGGGAAAGGTACAGAAACATAAAGACTCAAACAAACAGACTGAGACACAGCTTCTTCCCCAGAACTGTGACATCAGTCACCCCCCTAACCCCCAGTCACACACACACAACCTCCCCACCACAGACAGATACAGATAGAATACTGGACTCCTGCAGACGCACACACGCTCACACCTCTTCCTAAAGACTAAGATTTGCACTGAGCTGCACCTGTTACTACACTCTTTTGCTGCTAACATGCTGCTGACCTGATTATAGGTCCCATACATTCTTACTTTTATCTGTTCAGATCTTGATTTTGACTTGTACAGTTTTTGTTACTTATGTAAATAATGTGTCTTTTAAGTCGAGAGCTGCTGGAAATATTTGCTGTTCTATGCATAATAACAGATTCTTGATATGACAAAGGAAAGTAGAAAGTCCTCTCATTTGAGAACTTGCCGTATTTATCATTTCACTTTTTTTTGCTTGATAACAACTGATCATGAAAACAGGTGCTTGCTACTTTCTGTGTTCTACAGTTGATTGACTAACTGACCTATTTCTCCACCTCTACTTAGACATCTGATCAGTGGACAGAAAGCTGTGTAGGTGCTAGTTCTGCTAAATATACTGTGACTCCTGCAATGCATATGTGAAGAATTAAATTTATGTTTTATTTTTCAGGTGACAATGTGGCATTAATATTCTCTATATGGAACACTAATCAAAGACAAGGCAGCAGGGAACGCTGCTCTTCAGGCAGAAAATTACATTTGGTTAAATATATGGATACACTGCTTGTTTTTAGGTCTGCATCCATGAATCTAAATGAAACTTTCAGTAGAGTTAATTCTTTATGCGGAAATTAATATTACTAGTTTGTTTGTCGGCCTACCGTTGTAATGAATGGGATTTTGACCAATTTAATTGTGTTACGTCGCTTGCAAAGTTGATGTAAATGCACGAAACAGAATATTTGTATATTCTATTTAATTATTTATACACCCTGGGTGTGTGCCCCACTTGTGTGACTTGTTTTGGGTGGAGATCAGTTCTTGTTTTCCTCCCGCTACAGTACATTAGCTCTGCACCCCACCTGTGGCACTTCACTCTTTGTTTTTTATGTGCTCTTCCTTTCTGTCAATTCCTGTTGTTATGCGTGCTGTGTATTTTGATCCTCCGGCCTATGTGTCCTTCTCTCTCTCCATGCTTTTGTCTGAAAAGCTCGGGCCGGGCCCCTTGGGGAACAAACGTACATCTCCAGGTGTCACAATTTATAGAACACTTTATTTTATTTTTTTTGCACACAGTCTACAAAAACACCAGTGCACGTTAGGGAATACCTCGATAATTTATACACAATTACTGAGCACAGTTTTTGACACATAGGTGTCAAATATTTATAGCCTGCTGTTGTATTACACATAGTTTCATGTACACATTGTAAATGACATTTTTGCATAGATTGAATCTGATACAATGTTAGTTTGCAACAAAGTCTTGGGCTAGAATCAGACCGGGGGCATCATGACCACTAGAATACCAGGAATTCCACATATCTCGTGCCTCACTGCCGCCCCTACGACTACTGCTCGCTATATTAACCATTTAAACTAGTCGCGGACCTTCATGCTACCTTATGAACAGTCGGAGCAAATAGTTACTGTACATAGACACGAGTGAAATGTTTCATCCACAGATGGATGCCTGTATTTAATAAGCAATTCATGATGAAACGCCACATCATTATACTTTCATTAGCTTATATGAGTCATCAGGTATTAGACATTTTCAGTAAGTGTAGCGACTGACTGACCGCCTCTGCAGTCTTATTGTTTTCATTTGATTGACACCCGGTGTGTGGGCGCCCGATGGTGGACTTTTGCCAACCTGTGTTTGTGCCAATTTTCAATTTGTACAATAAAAAGTTTGAGTGGAAACATATAGAGTTTGAAAAAACCTGAAAAAGTTTTTACAATTGGCTGACATATAGAGTTTGAAAAAACCTGAAAAGGTTTTTACAATTGGTAGAAACGTTGGTGTATCAATGAAGACAATGGGAACAGAATTCAGTAATGAAGTGTGGCATACATGAAGCATGTGAGTAAAGCAATGATAAAGAGATCTGTCTGGAGCCATGAGGAGACTGTAGCATTCCTCAGATTAACAAACAAACACCATGTTTACACCCTATTTATATGTTTTTCCTACTGTTTGAGAATTGACTTGTGCTCCTTTAGTTTACATCATCTTGTTGTGATCCCTTCTTCCACAATGGTTTATTGGCTTGCGTGGGGAAATTATCTCCACCGGCTGTTTCTCCAAACGAAGCAACTCCAGATTTATCTAACAGACGATACATGTGGGTGGAAGCTGGGACTTGTGGTCCCCACTGGCCATTTATGGGCATCATCATGTCACACTCATATTTACATTCTGACATAGCGCAGTAGAACTGGGCCATGCATGTTGGATGTGCTGATTTATTTGCCAAATCATACAGGAGGCAACAAGGAAAGACACAATCTAAAGAGATTGACTTATTGGTGTACCTAGTATAGTATTAATGAGACATCCTGGTGTGTTTACAGTGTATTAGATTACCTGACCAATAGATGACATCATCACCAACCAACTATAAGTACAGACGGATGTTCACTTCTTTACCATTTATGGTTGAAACAATGGCATTTGTTTCTGTAGATGCTTTTGTTTGGCAACTCAACAGCTATATTTACTTCTATTTGAGTAACAGTACTCTGACTTACTAGCATAATTTTGTCTGAGCTGCCCACGTCTTGACACACATGCATTTAATTTTAAACACCAAGCATCTTTGAGTAGCTACAAACCACGGTCATGACTTAGATTCCCAGGAGCATCAGCCACATGTCCCTCCACCGACTGTCCAGCCTTTTGACTGGCACTGCCTGTGACTGACCGGTACGCTGCTCTGCCTCCAGAGTTATTCCGCTTGCATCCTAAAAGAGCAAGGGTCTGGTGGCGAAAGGTCTGGTCTAACAGGAAATACATGACAGGGTCAGTTGAACCTCTCAGTGCAGCCAATAGAAGCAGACAGTTCTTCAGCTAGAGGTGGGGCAGAAAGAAACTCGTCATGTGGCTGTACATTAGGAAAGCAACAAAGAATAAGAACTCTTTTGCATTAAGGTGACAGTCACCTCGACAAGGGTGGAGAGAGGATGGCAGTTGGTGGAGTCAGGTGAACTTGTCAGCTGACGTTGATAATGGGCCAGAGAAATGAAGATGGGTTTGAAGAGATGGTGTGGCAGCAGACAAACTGAAAGAACAATCTGGGAGAAGTGGGTTAAAAAAAATGGGTGAGTCCTAGCAATACAAACTGATTATTTTGGAGTATAATGTAACTTGTATCCACCTGGATCACCACAATGTTACGGAACACGCTGCTCAGCAGGCTTTGGGATGTGGTGATGCTTGTGCTGCGGCGGGAGCGTCTGATGTGTCTCAGCACTGTCATGTAGGACAGCAGCACCAGCAGGTAAAGCACAAAGAAAGTGGTTATAGGAAGCACTACGAACGTTGCAGAGAGCTGGCCTCCTATTTCCACCGCAGGGTTGTAGCACACCTTCACACACCCTCCATCCCCGCCGGCTTCCTGCACTGAGTAATAAACGGTCACTGGCACGATGCCCCCCACTGCCACCACCCACATTATGGTACACACCCTGCTGGCAAAAGGCGCCTTGGTAAGAAGGGTGAAGAAGGCTCGAGGGAGCAGGGTTGTGCAAGTGCTTGGCCTGGAGGCGTGGGTGTGCTGGATGAGGGCTGCGAAACGGCTGAGTGCCACCCAGGTGAGGATCATGAGGCTTATGTAGATGTTAATGTGGAGAACTGGGGTGATGCCGTGCAGGACCAGCTGACACAGCACGCCACCCGTTGTCCAGACAGAACCCCAGATGTAGTAGGCCGCAAGGAAGGGTGTGGTGAGCGACAGCAACAGGTTGGAGACGCTCAGGTGGGACAGATAAACGTGGGTGGGGGTGATGATAGAGATATACCGCAGGAACACCCATAAAGACAGCGCATTGCCCGGGAGAGCGGTGAGGAAGAGGAGTGTGTAGACGGCAGGGAGGAAGAAGAGAGTGGCAGCCGTGGGGCAGAGGTAGAGAGAAGAGGAGGAGCAGGAGGTGTTGTCTGCTGGAGGAGTGTGCGCTGTGTTCTCCATCTGCTCTGTAGGAACACAGAGGGACGACAGCGAGTGAGCGAGGTTACTGGCTTCATGTGTCTGTGCAACAGTGTTAGGTCATAGTGAAGTGTTTACTCACAGTTACCATAGTAAATGTGTTGACACATAAAGGGTTATTTTTGGTTGTGTACATGTTTGTGTGTTGGTTACAAACATAGTTTTGATCTAATCTTTCAGAGGTGTTAGCATATGAACACGAAATACACACATCACACAGAACTGGTTCACGTTCATATTTTCTCATAGTTTCTTTCTAAGCTGCTCTGAACAGTCTTGACTTTTGGTCAGTAGAGCGTGCCCCTACCCATCCATCCTCCGCACTTGCACTGGCCGTAAAAATAAGTTTTAAAAACAACGTTGTTTACAGGGCACCATGTGGAGCACACGCATGGTTTGTTTGGACTATTTTCTGTTAACCATTTGATCACATGTATGTTTTGTATGTCACTTTGACTCCCAGAGTTGAGGCTCCATTAGCAAAACAAACACTCTCCGGTGTTTTTTAAAAGCCGATGAATTACGTGAAGGCTTCAAGGCTTTTAGAGTAAACTTTCTGCATGAAGTGTTGTTATTTTAGCTTTGTTCAAAGGAAGTGAGCATCTGGTGTGTGAAAAGGATGTTACACTGATAGATTGTCCTGGATTTTAAAAATTGGCTATAGAACTTGTAGTGTCACTGGAGTCATGATGAAAACAGTCTCTAAATAGACAATAGTAAATAGAATTTCAGGATTTGTACAATTTGTTTCAATAAATTTCTGTTAGAAATATGGACTTTATTACCAGTTTTTAATGCCTAGTTACTTTTCACCCACCCGCTATATAGCAGATTATTTAATGACTAGGTAAACATGGAGGAACTGTTGACATTGTATTAATAGGAGAACAGGAGGAGTTTGACCTCAGGGCTTGTTTCTAATAAAGGCCTGGTTGTCTCTGCCACTGGGGTCAATAAATGAGGCCGCTAGTCACTGTCTGAGATTCGCAGACAGATTTTCAAATTCTGCTTTTCATTTTATGTTACTTGAAAACCTATAAAAATCTCAGGCGACAGAATGGGTCACACACTCGTTACAAGGTTTGTGGGTTCAGTGCCCAGCTCCAGTGTTACTGACAAAGATGGTGAAAACCATATTTCTTCATCTACTGTTCATGTGAGTTTGTTTTGAAGTTAGCATCAGACACCATAACATGGATTATTTCATTAAGTGATCAAATGTAGCATTTGTCAAATGAGCATAGATGGTGTTGTACATACCACTGACAGAAGCTCTGATGAGGTCATCCATGGGCACAGCAACAGCAGACGCTGAGAGACGAGGGGGAAAACGGCACTTAGCAACTTGACACAAAGTTCCGCTCTAAGTTCCTGCTTGTCATTGGACTGGAGGTTTCTGGTAAATGTTGCAGAGCTGGCCTCCTGTTAGTCAGTGGGCGTGCTGTTCCTACATCTTATGTCTGTTTTAGCTTCCTTAATAAGCAGACCCAGTGATGAGCCGTGTGTGGTGCACAGTGGCACGAGAGCAGAAAACCATTTACAGAAGTTGTGGTAATGTGCACTTGCTTATATAAGGAAAACATACATGAAGTGTGGCGTGTGTCGACAGCAGTGCTCTGCATCAGTTTGTTATTGTCTTCACATATGTGTATACACCTCCAGCTAGAGAGCAGTGACACCCAGTGATCCTCTGGCTGTTGAGCAGCAGTGTCTTCACCCTGTGTGTGCTGTTCTGCCTGGGGGTGGCAGTGCTACTCTGCTCTAGCTAAGAAGTAACAAGATGTGTGATAGCAAGTATATAGTAAATCTCTCTTTCCTCTTATCCCACTGTAAAATCTGTTTGATTGACAGGTTTTAAATTCCACTGGGCAACACACTGACATAAAATCACGTGTAGACACAGGCCGTAGGCGTACCACCTTGTCAGCTGCTCCGGCTTCTGTGTGGTCACTGTCGCAGTTTGTCAACAGAGTTCAGGCTTCAGTATCGTCTGCACAAGTGCCGTGTTTCTTTCAGTTTTGCGAGGATGTCGTTGTGTTTGCTAAAGTCACTGTGCCAGACAGTCTTCTCATGATGCTGTTGGTTTTTTTTAATACATTGGTTCACCTGCAGAAGCAACGGCATTCCCATCACCTTCTGCTGTTGAATGCTAATTAGCAGATGGTGGCAACAAAGTTGAAAGTGAACATGCTAAACCTCTGAACATTAGCACTGTCACTTATGAACATGTTGACATGCTAATGTTAGCACTTCCACGTTTGGCCTCACATTGTCGACTTGTAGTCTTGTGCTTTGTTTCTGGACGTCCTCTTGAATAAACAGTGCTCACTAAACTTGATTGAACTTTGACCATGAGCTGCATTCATACCAGCACCGCAGTGTTTTATTAGGTTGTGACTGTGACCTGACGTCACACTCAAGTTTTTCCCTATTCATCAGAGATTTATCCAATTTCATGGCAGGGTTCAGAAAAAGCTTTGCTGTGCTATTTCAGAGTCCACTGTCAGTTTCGGTTACTGCCTGTGTCCAGCTGGTGAGATCTTGAACAGACATGCTTTTCACACCTGTCGATGACCAGCTGTAAACTGCTGTAAAGTCTGCACCCACTGGGGAGGACACAGAGGTTTTGTTTGCTTCTGTGTGCGATGTCTCTGCAAGATCAGTGGACCCAGTTATGCCAAGAAATATACTCGTCCCAGATTTACTGCAACCTTCCTGTAGAGCTACTAAAGCGTGAATCTGCACTAAAACTGTTTAAAAATACAGTTAGACAGCCTTTATCCAGTCTTGTTAATGTTAGCACTATAAATAAGTCGGGTATATCGGCTGATAGAAGATAAGTGCTCATATCTCAGTATGTGTCAGCTGATAAATGAGAGTTATTGAAACACTGGGACGGTGTCACCATTCTAGAATATGTCCAGCAGTAGTGATTGTTTCATCTGTAAAATGTGCTTCCTAGTTCAATTTAACCACAGTTGTTAAAGAGATCAAATGTGAAGGAAACCTATTTAAAATGTTTATTCATGTTATGGATTGTGCAAGAAAATTCTCATCAGTTAATACATCATTATCAGATTTTTAAAAATAATCTCAGAAATCCTGTATCAGTGACCACCTGCACCGCACAGTACACTCCAGGCTGCTGTTACATCAGCATGTAGCTCAACAGAGAGTTGTGACTTAAAGGGGGATGGTTAGCGGTGTGACACAGTTAACATAGCAAGCTTTAACAAAAGGACGCCATTAGTAGTTTAACTAACATTGGAAACAGAGGCTGGTACATTTGTAACTATTGGTGAAACAGGCTGTGGTAAAACTACTTCCTGCATTATTTGCCTCTGTGTGGTTTCTGTGTTGTCACCAACACAAATCCAGACCATCATCACCTCTTGTGACAGTGCCAAACCCATGTGGAGGAGAGAGGCCATCAACGCTGCTGCCTCCTCCCCCGGCGGGAGGGACGATGATGCTGTCACCACGTAGCCAGGGTGATTTCAGTACATGTGTTCTCCCTCAAACTGCTGAGTAAGCTGATATTTGTCTTCTGCCAGCCCTTCTATTCGTGCCTTCGGTCTCAGCCGAGGAGCTGCTCCCGCTGACTCCAGCAGAGACTCGCAAGCACAACACGCTGCTCACCAGGCGCAGCACCTGCTTCCTCACCGAAGAGGACAACAGGAAGTACATCACAGGATCCAGGCAGCTGTTGAAGGCAGACAAGAGCAAAGCCACTTCATTGGCTTTGTCTACCACACTTCTCCAGTGACATGAGGTGTCTGTGATCTGGGTTTTAATGTAGAACACCCTGACTATATGATAAGGGACAAAGCAGACTGTGAAGAGAAAGAGGATGAAGAAGGACTTCTTGGCGGTTCGAGTGTAGCAGGCGGCGTTGGGCAGGTCTGGTTTCTCTTGGGATCTTTTCTGAAGTTTGCGGGCGATCTTCCCGTAAGACACAATGAGAGAGATGAATACCAGCCAGAAGACAACCAGCACGGAGATGTTGATGTAGGCTTTCCACTTCTCATTCATAAGCTGCTTGTAGTGGAAACACCTGGAAACACCAAACACATGATGTCAGCTTAAACAGCTGGGATGTTTGACCTTAAATGCATCAGAAGGGTCACCAACCTGTTCAACTGTGACTGCTGTGACTGACTGTTTGACATCAGGAGCACCAAACTCACGACAAAGGTTGTAGTCCAGACCGCTGTGCAGAGGGCAACGCTCCACTTCGTGTTCTGCAGTCTGCGCGGCATCTCTGCATCTCGATGGATCTTCAGGTAGCGATCCACGCTGATCAGCCCCAGCAGCACCACACTGATGTACATATTCATGTAGAAGAGGTTGCCCACTACTTTACAAAAGGTAGGATGCAGGTGCCACACATTGCCTTTGCTGTGATAGAGTATCCTGAATGGCAGACATACCACCAGTAGCAAGTCTGCAAAAGCTACATTTATGAGAAACACCCGCACAGAGTTCTTCTTAGTGTGAACACAGAAGAAAACCCACAAAGACGCTAGGTTCCCAGCGAGACCCAGGATGAAGATTATAGAGTAGAGCACTGCCAGTGGGCTCTGCAGTGCCCCATGGTCCACACAGTGGGGTTCAGAGTTCAGGGTGGTGAGAAGAGTGGAGCTGTTTGGGGTGTGGAAGGTGGCTGCAACAGATGTAATGGAGAAGTTTGCTGTCATGCTGCTTTTTGTGATGTTCAGCCCTGCAAGTAGGAGGGAAAACAAGTTGCAGTTTGTTTTGGGAAAGTTTTGAGCTCACTATTGCAGGTTTGTGTGATGGCTGAGGTCCAGCTGTATGGATCAGCCCTAAATCAGCATGAATCCTGACCCTGACCAGCAGAAGTGGGAAAGTCACAGAAAGAACAGCACTGATAAGTTCAAGTTCAAAGTGTTTGTCATATGCACAGTTAGGAAACTTGTTTCCCTGTACAATGAAATTCTTACTTTGCCGTCCACATGAATGCCACAAAATACAAATGAAATATAAAGTAGATAAATAAGTAACACAAAATCTAAGGCACTTTAAGCAGCAAATGCAGCAATATAATAAAAATATATAAGAATATAATAAGAGAATGTATGCTGCATGGGAGCAGCATGT